ATTGTAACCGTGTGTGGTTCCTTTATTTACCACTATAATGTCTTAAAGCATAGAACTTAGTAGGGCTAACCATACAGATATCTTAGCCATAATTTTATATAGTGTAAGAGATCCTCTATTTGACATATATAAATAATTGAGAATACAATATAAAATAAGGATTGTCTTGGAAGCAAGATTGTCTTTTTGGATATTTATTATATAAAAATATAAAATCCATTATAGCAGAGTTTATAAGATTAAATTACATGCTTGCAAATATCATTAATAGGTTGACATACCCTTCTGAACATGTCATCATGTCAGCCTCTCTGTCATTTTAAGATGGAGCTGCGTCTGTCTCCAAGTCTCTCCTCTGTGTCTTAACATTTAAAAGTACACCTATTTATACCTTAGGTGTCTCCATTTTAGGTTACTGTAGTTCAAATATGAAAAAGTAACACTTCTTTTACTTTATTCAATTTAGGTCCTCCCTTAATTTGGCAAACATACAAGGCCAGAACTAAAGGGTGTATACGTCATGGAAATTTTCCTGACTTAGTTCAAGATGGCATCTTAAAGTCTGAATAGGTTATCTGTTGTTTATACTAAGTCGTAAGTGTACAGTAGTGGGAGATTCCCAGATTTGGGGAAGTTCCATTAACTTGGGGTTACCACAGTATATTGTGTACTGCAAGTGTCGTAGAATAGCCTTGAAGCTTGTTTATGCATTATTGTTATTGTAATTCGTCTAGGACAAAATGGCGCAAACATATTATGCACTGAGGTTATTGCTTAAAGAAACAGTTATGAAAAACAATATGTTCCATTTCTAACACCTTGTCAGTTTGCAATATCTCTTAAAGACAAAGTACACAGTTTAAGAAATACAACATTTCATTCTAAAACTTGTAATATTTGCATTTGCCCGTAACACACCCATGCTCCTTACAGACAAGAGCTCACTAACACACACACACACACACACATATGATCCCTACAGACGACTCCCTGTCACACAGCCGCAAGCTCACTCACTAGCAGGCACACACACACACGCACAAACTCACTAGCAGGCACACACACACAGAGGCTCCCTCACTAGCAGGTGCGCGCACACACAGAGGCAGACAGTCACTGACACCGAGGCAAACATCCACACATACAGAGACAGGCAGACAGTCACACACACAGGCAGACAGCCACATACACAGGTAGACAGCCACACACACACAGGCAGTCACACACACACACAGTCACACACACACAGACAGTCACACACACAGGCAGTCACACACACACGCAGACAGTCACACACACGCAGACAGTCACACACACAGACAGTCACACACAGACAGTCACACACACAGGCAGACAGACACACACACAGACAGACAGTCACACACACACAGACAATACACACAGACAGTCACACACTGCGCTTTGCACTGAAGCACACAGTCGCGGGCAGTCCACGCACACAGACGATCCGCACACACACAGTCCACGCACTCACAGGCAGTCACACACACACAGACAGTCACACACAGACACACAGACAGTCACACACACACACACAGTCACACACACAGTCACACACACAGAAAGTCACACACACAGACAGTCACACACTCACAGGCAGTCACACACAGACACACTGACCTGCTTCTTACCTCCTGCTTGGAGCTCCTGGAGGCTTGTTGTTGGGGAAGCAGGGACTCCTTCCTGCTTCCCATGCTGCAGTCAGCCAGGCCCCCGCCGCACAGTAAGCCCCGCCCCGCCGCACGCTAAGCTCCGCCCCACCGCAAATTCTTTTTATTTATTTTTTTATGATCCCGGCCGGCCATGTGTGAAGTGTGCCGGCCGCCTGGCTCCCCCCGCTCCAATGGGGCTCTGTGCGGCCACACAGCTCACACATAGCCGGCCGGGATCACAGGAGCTGTCAGCCCAATGATTAGGGATGTCAGACCGACCCCAGGTGCCGCGGCCCACCGGGAAATTTCCCGGTATCCCGGTGGGCCAGTGCGGCCCTGGTGGTGAGTTGTCACAAGCTCACTACAGACAAGCTCACTGACACACACACACACAAGCTCACTACAGACAAGCTCACTGACACACACACAAGCTCACTACAAACAAGCTCACTGACACACACAAGCTTTCTTATTAGCATGCACACACACACAAGGCTGAGTATATTAAGCCTACCTAGCACTGGAGACTGTTGTTGGGAGGTCAGGTAGCTACTTTTTGCAGCAAGGTCTCCTGCTTGACATGGGAGCGGGGCTTGATGGAAGGAGGTGGAGCTTACATTCATGGGTGGGGCTTTCGCCGTGGGGCGGAGCCTGCGTCCGCAAGGCAGAGCAAGAGCCTGTGTGCTGGGGTAGCTGCTGAGAAATCGGAAGGGAGACTGTCAGTACTCCCTCCGGCCCCAGCAGCCTCAATGCAGCCCCCAGCACCTCTTTATAGCCACCAGGATCTCCCACCCTGAACTCCCTCGGACTATAACTATAATAATAAATAAAAGCCCATGGCCCAGCAAGTTGCCGGGACTGTACTGGGAGAGTAAATTGCCCAGGATAGACTCCAGTTTGCCGGGACTGCAAAACGGGACAGTTGGCAACTATGGTTTTAACCCCTGAAGGTAAGATGGTGCCCAGATACTCTTGCCCAAAAATATACTTTCCAATGTTTCCTGCCCATCTTCCAGTATGGGACTAATCCATGGGCATGCTGACTGGTGGATTGCCCCCTCAAGTGCAGTGCCCTGTCAAGTCCTGCATCTCAAAATCTGCCAGGTAGACTTGAACTGTTCAGCATATTTTAAAATGTGGGACAGGTCCTTAGGACCCATTTATATATGGTCACCAAAATGAGGTGTTCCAATGAAGTTCCCTTAAATTAAAGTTATTTTGGTGCTTAGAGCATCCCTTTACGATTAGTAAACATACATCACTAACAGAGAGATCTATCATTTTTATTCTTTTTCTCTTCCACTTATTCTTCCAAGCATTTTATCACTAAATAAATTATCGCTTACTAGTCACTATATAATTCCATGCTATAGATCTGGGGTGTCCATCTATAACTGAGGTATCCAAAAGGTAGATCCCCAGATGTTGTAGAACTACAACTCCCATGATGCTTTGCATGGCTTTGGAATGCCTTTAGAATGATAAAGCATCAGGGAAGCTGTCGTTTTAAAACATCTGGGGATCTACCTTTTGGATACCTCAGTTATAGATAGTTTCATTGAAAGTGACTTACCTTCTGTAAATAAGGCTCTGCCAGATTTGCTAGAAACATAGTAACTTCTCATTCTGTCATTGGTGAAAAGATAATAAGAGTATTAACCAATCGACCTATCTTGCAAGTGATGAAATACAGTGTACCAACATTAGGGTTAACTTGTTGACAGTTAGAGTGCTAGCTACTGTGTGATTTCCTGAGATAAAAATGACCAGACTGGATTACACCAGACTATTGGCAAACCTAATGAATGGCTCATTTCATTATCCTATAAAAAAAAGGTGTCAGCCAGAATGCAAACCTGACATACAGATTGGAAAATCCTTGTGAAATTTAACATTCCTGCCTGAGGTTAGCAATGACGTGCAATATATAGAAGCATATCGTACAGTGCTGCAGTGTTTAAAAGCGTGGAAAAGGAATTTGAGGTTATTATAAATAAAATGTAAGCATTCAGTAGTCTAACCAGTACAAATGGCTCTTCATACCTGGCATTCAATATAACTGATTCCTGACTGACATATTTGCTTTTCTAAGCCGAGATGACCTGATTTGCCATTTAACTGGGCACACGTAAAAAAGGAAAATGTGCTCAAACAGAGTTTTTGTATTTTAATGGCAATTCCTGCCCACAGCAATAGAAGTTTCAGATTTTGGCCATCAGTGTTATAGGGGTACAAATCACATACTTTTAACAGCCTTAATGGGGAGAGGAAACCTCCCAAATGGATGCTCAGATTTGAACAATGTACAGTACCTTTTTATTTATTTTTAAACTTGCAGTATCACATATGACCACTGGGTGGTTTATGAGATTGCTTCAATCTTGACTTGTATATGAGCTTGCATACATCTGATTTTTAATAGTTCAATAAAATACAGCTAACCATGCATATACAGGCACGTGCGAATACACTGTATAGTCATAACATTTAGCAGTATATCACTAGTAAACACTTTACACATGACAGATTTGGGTATATCCTGCACAGTTAGGGAAGTTTTGGTGTGAAAGAAAATCCTCTTGTCATGCATAGCTACGAGTGCCATCTTAGATAAACTAGTTTTATTTGTTATTTTTGTATGTAAAATATAGGGCAAAGGTCACAGTGTCTGCGGGTTATCAACCAATCTTTCATATCTTTTTCATACCCAAAATCAAGGAAATAATACTGAACTACAAAACAAGCACTTAACAGGATGCTACAGTTAAACAGCAGATAACCTTTACATGAGGTACAGTTCTGCTATTTACAGATTTCGCTTATATTTCATGCATGTTAGAGGTTTTATAAAGGACCTAGTCAGGCGTTAAAACATCACATCCTCCCAGCATCCTTTGCTTCAGCTGATTGTGTGCACACTGTGAATTATTATTATTTTACTATATGTAATAGTACAAAAAAGAAATCTGCAAAATACTAACCTTTGTTCTAAAGAAAACATTTTTTTTTTTTACACTTTTTATCTTTGACTAGAATATAAGCTAAAATTGAGGGGTACTGTAGAGATAAATGGTGGACATGATGGGAGACAATCAGCCCTGAATTAGGGTGTGACTGGACACCTGGTATAATTCTTGTTCCTCAACCTATACCTATTTGTTCTCCGGGAGGCATAACTACCTAGCAAAGGTGTCAAATGCCAGAGCTGAAAAAATGCTTGCGCTGTGCTCCTGCACAGCAACAGCATTTCAGCCAATCAGATAATCAGGAGAGCCGTGCTGAGCGTTAGAATCCTGATAACCTCAGATTTTTAAAATGGAATCATTGATGGAGGACTCCATATCTGTGTCTGCCACAGATTTAGTGGATGCCTCACTTAGAAGCAGCCCCATCAATGTTAGAAAGCTCCATAAGAGAGCTTTACTTGCCAGGGATCTATCCTCTTCATCTTCTGAGGAGGATATGGTTCCAGTTTTACATAAAAAGAATAAAGAAAGGCAGCTGGTCTCTTCTGCCAGTTACTCGTCGGAGGAAAAAAATTCTGCTCCTCCTTCCCCTCATACTCGTTTGAGTATGCGAAAAATTCAAGGGACAGGATCCCAAAAGAGGAATAGTGTGGACAAATCTCGTTGGAGGTTAGATAGTCTTTCTCCTTCCTCTTCTAGAGCGTTTGCTCATGCTTCCTCCCAAAGCCATTCCAGTTCTAGACACGGCTCTCCAGAAATAGAGCGTTTGCTCATGCTTCCTCCCAAAGCCATTCCAGTTCTAGACACGGCTCTCCAGAAATAGACTGGGAATCTGTGGAAGTGGTACGTTCAGCAGCTTCCACTGAGCGAGGGAAACTTAGCAACGTTCAGATGGCCAGAGTGAGTCTCCTAGGAAAGATCCTCCCATCAAAATTATTTCACTCCAGATGGGCTATGGAGCACAATTCTCAGGTTAGATCCCCCTTGTTTAAGGCCATTAGATCCCCCTTGTTTAAGGAGGATGACCTTCTCTTCAGGAACCACATTGGTATCCCGGACAGCCAGGCTTTAATGGCTCCTCAGGTAGATCCTGCTCTGTTATATATCACAGGGAGCAGTACATCTACAGACCAAACTTTTCATAATATACAGTTTAAAATTGCTGATGCTGTTGGCCCACTATTACTGATGCTGGATAAAGAAGAAAAAGAAGGCAATGCTCAGAAACATTCTGTTTCATCTCTGCTGACATCTAAGATGGCTTTTTTGAAGGCTTCCGGCAGGGCAGTGCTAATTATTGCATTCGCAAAACCCACTGGCTCCACGCAGTAGGAATGTCTGACCTAGCCTCTAAATCACATGAGTTCCCAAATTTGGAGGATTCTTACCTTTTTGGTCCCTTGTTCATTCAGGAGGTTAAAGGCCGTTATAAGGCAAGGAGATCCTTTTCAGAGCTTAAAAGTCCTTTCCTGTCTACAAAAAGCCCTTTTGGACAGAGGGTCGCCCCTATCACACACCACTAAATTGGAAGGATATTTCTTCAGACAAATGGGTTGTAAAGATTTTTCAAAGGTTCTTTTTAAGGTTCCCAGTTCAGAGTTTTGCACCCAGGGCTAGATGCCTCCCTTTCCCTAGCTTTAAATTAAGGGAAGATAGAGTTGTCGGACATGTGTATTAGAGGATGGGTCAGTCCGTTGTTCCAAATCCCAAAATCAGACGGTTCCTGGAGACTGGTTCTAAATGTGAGGTCTCTGAACGCTTTAATCAAAAGAAAAAGGTTCAGGATGGAGGGTTTATCAGATCTTCCAGGCTTAGTACAGAAAACATTTTTCTGCATAAAGTTAGACCTAAAATATGCCTTCCATTCAGTCCCTATGGCCAAGAAACACAGGCGTTTTCTCGGGTTTCGGTGGAAAGGAAAGGTGTGGCAATGGACTGTTATAGTGTTTGCCTATCCAATGCACCATACACATTCTCCAGAATAATTAAATCAGTGATAGCCCATGTCAGACTAAAAGGTTACATGTGTCTGTACGATCTAGGCAATATCCTGCTCATGCACCCAGATGGGGAAGTCCTTTCTTCTCAGAGGGATTATCTTGCTTCCCTTTTCTAAGAGCTAGGATTTGTAGTGAATTTACAGAAATCCGTCCTAATTCCCACTCAAAGCATTTATCTTTTCACCAGGACTATGTCACTAGGAATCCCTTTTAAAACAAATGGGACAAATTATTGGTACATCTGACCTCATCTCTCAGGCACCAGAGTTGGTCCTTGAGAGATCTGGCAAAGATTATCTGGAAATTAATAGCTTTAACATCAGCCTATGACGATTCCCCTTTACTTTGCAGAAGAAGTCAGCTGTTTTTAGGGAATCGATTAAGGCAGGGTGGCCATTTGGAATCAAAATGCATTCTCCCCAAGAATGTCAGAAGAGTTGAAGTCTATTCTCGGGTTAGAAATCACACTTCCTAGTCCCCTGTTAGAGCAGCCGTTTTCAGTTACTCTGACGTCAGATGCCTCAAATCCCGGTTGGGGTGCGTTTACAGCGCAAAATGCGATGAGAGAAATTTGGTCAGACCAAGAGAGACTCCTTCATATAAACATCTTGGAGTTAAGACCAATAGAATTAGCTCTCCAGGGCCTAGTTCCTCTAAACCAGTTACCGACTGGTAACCAATCTGTAAAAGTCCAATCAGACAACAGGACAGCGGTGGCTTATATAAACCACAGAGGGGGCACAAGATCAATGGGTCTTTGTTTGGAGGCTCAAGATCTTTGGTCTTGGGCTTTAGCAAACAAAGTTTGGGTTTACGCAGAATACGTTCCGGGAGAGGCGAACAAGCTTGCAGATTCTCTCTCTCGCAAGAGTTTGTCTCTGGCAACAATTCAATTAAAGATTGCTCTATTCCAACGGATAGAAAGCAATTTTGGCCAGAGACAAGTAGATCTGTTTGCATCTCAAACGTCTGCACAAACTCACAGGTTTGTCTCCAGGATTTGGACAAAGGGAGCTTGGCACTGTCTTTCCAATGGACAGATGTTCCAGCCCGTTATGCCTTTCCCCCTCCATCTTTACTGATAAAAGTGCTGGAGAAGATCCACAGGGACAGGGTACAGCGTTTAGTTCTCATTTACCCAGTATGTACCTCCACACCCTGGTACCCCTTGATCCATCAGTTAGTCAAGGGAACCAAGATCCTATTGGGCATGACTGTGGACTGCTTTCAAGGAACCAGCGATCTTTTGCTCAAGCTTCCTCAGCGGGTGTGGATCGCAGCCCTGGTAGGCTGTTAACGCACCTCCATTTATTGGATCAGGTCCTGTACATCATTAATTCATCTTTAAGATGCAGAACTAGGGTAAGATATAGAAATATGATTGAGGAATTTAAAGATTGGGAGGTTTCTTTTCTAGCTACCTCTCAGAGATCTGATACCATTCCATTGGCTTTAGAATGTCTTACCCTTAAGTTCCATTCTGGTTTAGCAGTCAGTACCATCAAGACCTGTGGATCTGCTTTAAATTTCCTTATCCCTAACCTTACCCAGGATGCCCTGTATTTGAGAACACTAAAAGGGTTATCAGTTTGCCACCCATATACTCTATGTTACACATCTACTTGGGATGTAGACCTCTTATTAAATTTCCTTAATTCTTTGAATAATGCTAAAATTGGTTTAAGATGGACTGCTTTTAAGTTGGCATATCTGCTGTCTTTGGCCTTGGCAACTAGAGGAGCGGAGTTAACTCAAATCCATATTTCAGAACCGTGGTTGTCCTGGATCCCGGGAGGGTTCCATATTATACTAAAAGGGAGACAAAAAACATCCCAGATTTCCCAAGGTCCATTGGAATTGGATTTGGTTCAAGATCCTTCTGAACCAGGCTTATGTTAAAGGACCACTATAGTGCCAGGAAAACATACCCGTTTTCCTGGCACTATAGTGCCCTGAGGGTGCACCCACCCTCAGGGACCCCCTCCCGCCCGGCTCTGGAAAGGGAAAAGGGGTTTAAACTTACCTTTTTCCAGCGCTGGGCGGAGAGCTCTCTGCCTCCTCTCCTCCTCCGTTACGCCCCGCCGGCTGAATGAGCACGCGCGGCAAGAGCTGCGCGCGCATTCAGCCGGTCTCATAGGAATCTATGATTTGCAAACTTTCTTTGTCTTAGGGATGAGCATAACACCTAGCAATAGCACCCGTCCCACCCTCCCCTAGGGTAAGGGTTTTGCCTGCTGGTGGTAGTTTGTTTTTCTTTACATAAGGTTATCTTGTGGTTATTCAGCCTATTTCTAACTGCTTTCTGTTTTTTTTTTTTTTACAAACTATAACCGTACTCCAAGACTAGACAAACAAACCAAGGATCCACCTAAGTAGGAAGATTGGATGCTAGTAGTTTCTGCAATATGAAATTCTCAGGGCTACCTGCATAAAGAATCTGCTTTCAGAGACTTGTTACAACGTTTCATTTTTTTTTACAGAACTTCTTTTGTTGCAACTTACGATGTTCCATTTTTAGTGTCGATTTGATACTTTCTTAGCTTATAAATTGTTGCCTTGTTATCTGTTTAGCCTTGTGCAGTATTCAAAAGTTTTTAAGTCCATCTCATATGTCTTTACGAATTAAATATTATCTTGTTCCTCTTTACTATTGGGTTCTTGAATTATTATTTTTGTTTAGATTCTACAAGATTAGGCAGAAAGAGGCTAAGCAAGTTATAAGAGCTTCCAAATCACACACAGAAGAGAAAATAGCACAGTCAGTAAAAAATGGGGACAAAACATTTTATAGATGCATAAATGAGAAAAGGAAAATAAAACCAGGATTAGTTAGTTTAAAAAGAAAAGAAGGAAGGTATGTAGAAGAGGTCTAGTTGACTGCCTCAATGAATATTTTTGTTCAGTATTTACAGATGAAAATGAAGGAAAGGTGCCTCAGTTAGGAAAAAGGACAAATGAGTCATTTGTTACATGTTAGTTTACAGAGGAAGATGTTCTATTTCAACTGTCAAAACTAAAGACAAATAAATAAATGGGGCCTGATGGAATACACCCAAAGTTATTAAAAGAGCTTAGTGTACTTAGTGTACTAGCAAAACCATTAACAGATTTATTTAACCAATCATTGTTAACAGGAGTAGTCCCAGAAGATTAGCGAATGTTGTGCCCATTCACAAGAAAGGTAGTAGGGAGGAGTCGGGCAGCTATAGTCCATTAAGCTTTACTTCAGTAGTAAGGGAAAGTAATGGAAACCATGTTAAAGGATAGGATTGTTGAACATCTAAAATCATATGGATTTCAAGATCAGCGACAACATGGGTTTACTTTAGGGAGATCATGCCAAACTAATCTTATTGATTTTTTTGATAGGGTAACTAAAATAACAGATCAGGGTGGTGCAGTAGACATTGCTTACTTCAGTAAAGCTTTTGACACTGTTGCACATAAAAGGCAATATTTAAGATTGGATTCCAATATTTTTGAATGTGTTAGGCAGTGGATGAGTGGAGTATATTCGTAGCATGGTTTTGTCACCAGTGGGGTACCTCAAGGATCTGAACTTGGACCCATTCAATTTAATATTTTTATTAGTGATATTGCAGAAGGTCTTGATGGTAAGGTATGTCTTTTTGCTGATGATACTAAGATATGTAACAGGGTTGATGTTCCAGGAGGGATAAGCCAAATGGTAAATGATTTAGGTAAACTAGAAAAATGGTCAGAGTTGTGGCAGCTGACATTTAATGTGGATAAGTGCAAGATAATGCATCTTGGACATACAAACCCAAGGGCAGAGTACAGAATATTTGATAGAGTCCTAAAA